TTATTTGGTTCCTATGTTTCTCCGTTCTTATAGGCTGTTGCTGTTCTATCCTGTTTTCGTCATTTAGCAATTCATCGAAGTATTCTTTCCATCTAGCGGCTATTTCATTTTCTCCACTAATGGCGTTTCCCTCTTTATCTTTGTAAAATATTGTTTTTTGTTGGTATCCTCTTTTTTCATTTTTTACTCCCTGGTATAAATTTCTAATTTCTCGATTTTTGTAATTTTCTTCTATTTCTTTCAGCTGATTTTCCATGTACTTTCTCTTTTTCATTCTCAAAACTTTTTTTACGATTTTTCTTTGTTTTGCATATCTGTTTCTTGTTTCTTCCGTATCACTTTTGATCATATCCATCCTTCGTTTACTTCTTTCTTCAATTTCCTTCTGGCATTCTTCGTCAAACCAATCCTTTTTCTTTTTAGTTATATTTTTATTGCATTCTTTAGCTGTGTTACTGATAATCTGCTGAATTTTGTCCCAGTCCTTGTCTATGTGCCCTTCTAGGTGTATTTCATTTAATTTTCTATCGATACCTTTTCTATACATTTCTTGTTCTTCTTGCGTTACAAGCCGCACTGGTTTATTTGTGTTCTTATTTTTTCTTTTGCGATTTTTTTCTTCCGGTATCAGTTGAGCCATTTTAATTCCTAACATGAAGTGATCCGAGTCAGCGTCTGGTCCTCTGTATGTTCGCAGGTTCTTTATGCATTTTCGGTCTTCTCTCTCTATTAGTACATGATCAATTTGATTTAATGTTTTTCCATCTGGGGATCGCCATGTTGCTTTGTAGATGCTTTTTCTCTCGAAATATGTACTCATTATTAGCATATTTTTTTCTTTGGCAAAATCTATCAAAAACTGCCCGTTCTCATTAGTTTCCTCGTGTTTGCTAAATTTTCCTATAGTTGTTCTATATATTTCTTCTTTTCCTATCTTTGCATTTGCGTCCCCCAGTACTACTTTAATGTCATATCTTGGAATACTTTCAAATACCCTATTAACTTCACAGTAGAAATCCTCTTTTACTTCAATATCTTTTTCTTCTGACGGTGAGTGAATGTTAATGAATGTGATTTTTTGATATTTTCCTCTTATTCTTAGACAACATAGACGATCAGATATTGGTTTAAACTCTACAATTGATGCTTTTAACGCTTTATTTACCAAAAATCCTCTGCCTAATATTCTGTTTCTGCCTCCACTATTAAAAAATAAGCTATTTTCAATTTCCAGCATTTCCTGACCCAGTTGCTTTGTTTCTTGTAGTGCCACTACGTCAAATTTAAACTTTTCAATTTCTTTAGTTAAGTGTTTCAGTTTTCCTTCCTCAAAAGTACCCCTTACGTTCCACGTTCCTACCATTAAGTGATCTTTTGGATATGTGTTTCTATTACCTTTTTTTGTATTTTTTATCTTTAAATCACCCTTTCCTATGACAATGTTACCGGTATTCATGTCCTTGTTCCTTGCGTTGTTCGTCTTCGTATTTTTACTATCATAGCCGTTTTCTAGTTTTTTGAGTTTGTTATTTCCATTTTATCTTCCTTGCTATTCCACTTCCATTCAACACCATTTATCATCATTTTCTTTGCTCCTATTTTGACTTCGTTTCCTTTGTTTCTTTCCTCTTGTGCAATTTTTCTTATTATTTTTTGAATTTCTCTCTCTCTCACCGTTGTGTCATCGTTGATGTATACCTTTTCCTTTTTGACGTCCTTTAAATTTGCTTTATTCTTCATAACTTTTATCTTTTCTTGTTGGTTCTCCATTTCAATTAGGCACGTTTTTGGACCTAGTTTGTGGGCCGTCTTTATTTTGGCCTCTACTGCAAGGTGATCTTTTATAAAATTGCCAATTGCTTCCTTCAATACCAGCTGATCCTGCGTATCAATTGCTAGCCCGTTCATTACCACATTATTTCGCCTTCTCTGTTTTTCTATAATTTCTATGTTGTCTCGTATTTCCCTTAATTCTTTCTTAATCTGTATGTTTTCCTCTTTTAGAATTTTATTATCATTCTTTAGTTCCTTTTTTTTCCTTATTAGATGTTCAACTACCTCCTTGTATTCCTTTTGGTCTTCTTTTATTTGTCTAATGTCGCTGGTTAGGTTGCTCATCATTTCTAGCAATTTATCAAGTTTTGCTCCATCCTCTTTTCCTCCTGTCTTCTGAGGGGTTCTTGTTAGTTTTTTATTTTTTCTGGATCTCTCTTCCTCTTGCTCATCATCCTCTCCTCTATTCTTTCTTTTTGCTCCTTCATCTGTTGTTGTATCGTCACTGTCCATATACGTTTTACCTTGTAGATATTTTTCCATCCTTGTATGCTTTTCCTTTCTTTTTTTTTTTTGGTCACTTCGCGGATTACTTTCAACTCTGATTGGCGCCAGACACTATCTCTCGCTTCAACAGCTCGGAAGAAACAGTATCTACCACTTCCTGTTGAATCCCCTATTCGAAGTCTCGACTAATTTTGTATTCCGTGGCAAACACGAAACTTTGCACACATTGGCACCGTCGCGATTCACTTAAACGTACCTTCCTTCCCAGTGTTAGTTCTTATCAGTTAACCTCGCTTTTTTCCCTTATCCGATTATTCACTTTGTTATTGTTTTTTTGCAGTTTTCGGTGTTTATTTTTGCACAGTTGTTACCTTATTCAGTTATCTCAATTCTCACTACAACGTATTGAATTATTTCCCGTTGCAACTCTCGAATTTCGGGTTTATCGCAGACAGAAAATAAAACAAAAATCACTAAATTTAAATTTAAACCAATCATTTTTAACGGGTTTTTACCCAAATATTTAGTGACTTAAAACATGTACACCTACACACTGATGATGGAATATGGATTCCGAAAACTGTTGTTCCGGGCTATATCACAACAACGTTTTGTTGTTGTAATATAGCCCGATTGGGTTCTTAATTATATACCTTTTATAGAGGCTTTTAATAAAATTTTTGTGATACATGGTATACAGACAGCTACACGAACTTAGTTTCCTTGTGGAGTTTATTTTAGATACAGATGCAAGTTATGTGTGGATTTGAGGAGTGTTTTCTCAGATTCAAGGAGGATAAAAACGCGTCATTGGATATTTTAGTAACGTGCTTCAAAGCCTGATGGAAAATATTACGTCACGAGATGAGAACTTCTAACAGAAGTAAAATTAATAGAGAGCTTCTATCAATATCTCCATGGAAAGAAGTTTTTATGCGAACCGACCATGCCGTCCTTAAGTGGTTAATGCAGTTTAAGAATCCAAAGGGGGCAGATAGCTAGATTGATTAAACGACTTCAAGATTGAGCAGCGGGTCGAAGTTAGCCATATGAAAGTCAAATCTCTTTCTAGAAGGTCGTACCCAGAAGATAATTTCCACTGTAATAAAACAGAATCCAAGGAAGCAGCAATGCTAAGAATAACGATGGCCAACGACGAGTGGACGCCTACCAAGATCCTAAAAAAACAAGAGAAAGATCCAGTTTTACAGAAAATTCTAAAATGGAGAGAAGAAAACCTTCGACCGTCTTGGCAAGAAACATCAAGCCTATGTTCAGTAGTTAAAACGCATTGGGCCCGATGGGACTCAAGTAAGTTGCCTTTTTTAAACGAGATCTGGAAAATGATGATATTTCCGAGAAAAAAAACACAGTTTGTGATTTCAAAGAGTAAAATACGGACTTTCTACACGTGATGGACTACTTCACAAAGTCGGCCAAGGTCTACGCAATTCCACTCCAGAAGGCCGCCAGTATTACGGATGTGTTAATCAAAGAGTACATCAGCCGATTTGGAGTGCCTTTGGAGACCCATAGTGACCAACGAAGAAACTTCGAGACGAATCTATTTCAGTGAATCTGTGATATACTAGGCATTAAAAAAAATGAGAACTACAGCCCATCACCGGCAATTGGATGGAATTGTTGAGCGAATGAATAAGGCAGTTTGCAAGTATTTAACAAAAATGGTGTCCAATCATCAGCGAGATTGGGAGCAGTACCTTCCTTCTTCGTAATGTCTTACAAATCCACTGTTAGTGTATCAACTGGCCAAACACTAGTAAAAGTTCCATTTGGACGCGAGATGTGACTATCTTGTGATCTATAGTTTGGATGTCGACCTGGTGAAGATAATGTGAACGAATTGCGAAGAAGAATGGACGATATACACGAGTTGGTTCGTTCCCACCTTCAGATGAAGAAAAGGTAACAAGCTAAACAGGAATGTTTTAATTAAGAAGAATGACAGAGTATGGCTCTATAATCCAAAGAAGGAGTTCGTCCCTTAAATTATGGATCACGTTATTCTGACAGCAAATCCTTTAAGTGCCCAAAAAACCACAAAAATGAGTTGTAATTTGTTGCTAATATGAGATTGTAATTACTATTTAAGAGGGAATAAGCCACAATTAAAGGTTAAAGTACGTTTATTGATGTTTTAATTTCCACTTTAAAAATCGTTCTCAAAATACAAACAGAAGTAAATTAAACAAATTTGTTAAACAAAGGATTGTAAGGAGAAAAAAGTATGCCTTCATAGAACGCAGACTTTATTTCGATGTCTCTATATTGTGATTTTTTTGTAGAACATTATATTCATTATTTTTTTTTATAATAGCTTAAGTTCGTAAAGGTCCTTTAACTATTTATATTATGGTCTTTTATCATTATGCTAACAATATTTTTATATACGTGTTGTGAAGATTATTTGGTTGGACATGAATCTTCACCCATGTTGATTATTAAAATCAGCTGGATTTCTGTTATGAAAATTATTAGAATGCTTGTTTAAATATTTATTAAAAATCGATATATTTTGATCTGATATATTATCTCCACTTAGTTATAAAAACTTAATAATCTAAACAAATAAAAAAAGTTCTTTCTCATTTATGACCAATTACTTAGTTTTTTTTATTTACATAATAATACATAAAATGTAATATGTTTACTTAAAATTTTCTGAATATTGGCGTCTGTTATATTATTACCTTTTTCAGGTTTCAATATGAGGGCTCTAGCGGATCTAAATGATAGTTACATAATAAACAGCAAAGTATTTTATTTGTTGGGGATAATGGTCGTTGTACCCATAAATTTTTATTTAAATTCTATGGACGTAAGTATTTAGCTTATTTGGTATATCAGTAAGGTAAAATTTATTAATTACAATAAAAGAATAATAAGCAAAATGAATAAAACAAATGGGGAGGATAATTTTAAAATTAAAAAAGAGCTTACTTATAATAAAGTGTTTTGTATATGATCAATGTTTCTGATTTTTTGTAATGTAAAATTATTAAGAACTTTTTCATTTATGACCTTAATGTTTTTTTACGTAAGTATAACCAAAAATACACTATTTTTTAGGCATATTTTGTATTTATAATTGATTTTAGTAGTTTCATGTTGAAAACTGAAAACTTTTTCATGTTCGACGGCAGTCATAAGAAATGTACACACAATAGAAATCTGTAAATAGTGAACTTCTAATCAAGTTTTAAGTTTTAAACATAAATATATTCCATTTTCTTTAACTTAAAAATATTTGAGGAAAAACATTGTTTTTAATTGAAATGAGGTTGAATGCTCGAATAAATGAACTTTGAAAAATAAGGCTATTATCGAGCACAAGTTAATTAAATCTAGCCCAAGTACTTTCGCTTAAAATAGCATCTCCAGGGGCATTTCGTCAAAATGTAAACTATCCGGCAAGCGTAGAATGTGGAAACATTAATATTGACATAAAATTGTACAAAACACTACACTAAAACGAGGACAAACAGTTTAAAATTACTTAATGATTCTACGCTACATTATTTGTCAGTATCTGGAGGGAAAATGGGATTATATAAATAAGGCTATTATCGAGCACAAGTTATTTAAATCTAGCCCAAGTACTTTCGCTTAAAATAGCATCTTCAGGGGCATTTCGTCAAAATGTAAACTATCCGGCAAGCGTAGAATGTGGAAACATTAATAATGACATAAACTTGTACAAAACACTACACTAAAACGAGGACAAACAGTTTAAAATTACTTAAAGATTCTACGCTACATTCTTTGTCAGTATCTGGAGGGATAATCCCATTATTTATTTTTCAAAGTTTAAAACATTGTTTGTAGTATTTAAATTTAACTGACTAAACATCTTAAATAATACTGAATGTTAGCTGTGTTGAAAACTGTGTAACATAGATGTGTTCAATTATAAAATAATAGAAATTTGATCAAATGAAAAGCAGATATCGAGCACAGTTTTATTAATTTAATCTTGCCCAAGTACTTGCGCTTTCTAGATCATCTTCAGGGCATCTGAAATAAGCCAAGAAACGTTTTTTTAACTGAAAAAAAAAATCAATTAACTTAGATAAAAAATTCAAAGTTGAAGGTTGATAAAAGTTTTTATGTGATATAACGTTTTAGACTTACTTCGTCAATTTTGGCCTATCCAACAATTTGTGGAGAATGTCATAAACATAAAAATGTATATTACACTACACTACACAGCTTCTAAGCTGTCTAAGAAAATATCAGCTAGAAAAGGTGATAATGAAGATCCCATTGATAAACCTGTTGGTTGTTTATTTATTTTTTGATAAGAACAAAAATTTGTTAACAACAACAGCAAAATAATTTTTTGGTCAAAATATGTTGATGATTGTATAGCTCTCATACAGGGAACCCAAGATGTTGCTTTACAGATTCTGGATGATATTAATAACCTTCATCCTAACATCTCTTTTACACTGGAATCTGACAATAAGTTGAACTTCTTGGATATGACTATATCTCGTAATAAAGTTTCTGAAAACCTACTCAAACGGATCATGTTATACATGAAACATCTAATCATCTAACCCAACATAAAATGTCTGCTTTCAACAGTTACATTCATAGGTTACTCAAATTTCCACTTTCTAATGATAACTTAAATTTAGAACTTAATACTCTCAAGCAAATTACTTTCAATAAGTGTTATGATCCCAACATTATCCGAAAGCTTCTAAATAGAGCTAAACTCAAAATTGCAGAAAAGCTTGCATATTCATCACAATATTGGCTTCAACCCAATGCTTCAAATAACATCAGATATTTCTGCTTTACTTATATTAGCAATATTTCCAATAAAATATCTAAACTTTTTGCTTCTACAATTTAAAATATCAAAATTTCCTTCAAGTCACACAACACTTTAGGTTCCGTTTTAATCAACACCAAAGATAGGATGAACACGACAAAAGTGTGATTTATAAATTAAAATGTGATCATAGTGATGTATGTAGGTAGAACCATTAGAAAGTTATCTACTAGAATTTCAGAACATTTGAAACGACCAAACTCTTCAAGTTTTGGTCAACACTTATTATCCAGTAAACACAATTTTAACATAAATACTGGTTCATCTATCTTACATGACATTAGTAGAAAGAAAAACTACTTGGAGCTGGATTTATTGGAAGATTTGGAGATTACAAGGGAAACAAATAAAAACTCTCACTGTCTTAATACTCAAATTAATTTAAATTGTACTAAATTTAAACCTATTTTTAAAAACTTTATTGCAGCTTCACCTCATGGGGTATCCAACTCGGCTGTTTAGACTTCCTGCACAGAGTATACCCATTAAGAATTTATTAATTTCGTCTTTAATTAACATTACTATTTTATTCTACAAAACTAGCTTACTCAGGTTCAATTGATTTATAGTTGGCGTTGATTACACTCTCCATATCTCTGCGTAATTTAGATATACCATCTCCACAGTTGTATATTTCAACATCTCCCACTGTTGGTCAGTTGGTCTTGAGTAATACTTTAACATTTTAATTTTATGGTTTTCCCATTGACTGTGGGATTAACTGAACTACTTGGATTATTCCTCATTTATACACTCTTGCTTCAATTTTGATTTTAATTTTAGTATTTTAATTTCATAGTTAGATTTCTTCTTTTCTACAGTATTGATAGTGCTTGGTAGACCCTTTTATTGTAGTCAACCACCCATTGTCTAATAGATTGCTTTGTCTATTTCTTGCATTCATATTTTACGTTCACTTCAGTTGCCCTCAAAGTAACGTCAAAGCTTGATTTATATCAGAGTTTCCCAAACTTATCTAAACCGCGACCCCTTTTTGCTAAAAAATTTGTTCGCGACCCCCCAATTTCCCCCCATTCATTTATTCAATATTATTTGACAGAAATAGCGTGCCTAATTTACAATTATCTGATGGTTTCTCAAATTAAATTTTACTTTACTGTTTAAGTTTAAATCAAAAACAATTATTTTATTTTAATACAATTATGTATTTTAATGATTGCGATCTGTCCCACTAGTAATTAGTAGTAGATACTTCTTCCAGAATAGCATTTACAATAAAAATAAATAATAAGAAGTCGACTGCACATTGTACACCGCGACATATTAGCTTGTGTCGACATCGCAAAACTATTTCATGATAATCGCGAAAGCGCTCGCTACTAGATGGCACTCTGGAACGTTCTCGTAGCCTCGTTTTGGCTTTATATATAAGCGGCCCTATGGTGGCGAACGCGGTGTTGAGTAATGAGTAAATATTTTACGACTTACGTATTCCCGTTTACGTATTTATGTCTCCGATAAAATATAAATTATGGATAAGTTTTTAAAAAGAAGTGCAGAACCATCTACGTCTGAAAGTGGCAGTAGCAGCAATAAAAAGAAAAATATATTCTACATTGATGAATATCTTAAATATGGTTTTACCGTTATTTCCAATAAACCACAATGTGTTATTTGTGGACAAGTCTTGTCAAAAGAAAGCATAAAGCCATCAAAGTTACTTCGACATTTAAATAGCAAACATCCAGATAAAAAAGACAAGCCCGTAGAATTATTTGAAAGAAAGCTAAATGTCCTTAACAAACAGCAAGACAGTTTTCAATTGGCAACCACTACTAATGAAAAAGCATTATTAGCAAGTTATAAAGTTGCTTATCGTGTTGCCAAAACTAGTAACCCGCACACAATTACTGAAAATCTGATTTTTTCAGCAGCTCTTGAAATGGTACATATAATGTGTGGGGAAAGAGAGGCTGCAAAATTAAATACAATACCTCTGTCAAATAATACTATCCAAAGAAAAATTAGTGATATGGCAGAAGATATTCAAGCACAAGTTGTGGAAAATCTGAATAAATGCACGTACTTCTCTCATCAAATGGACGAATCCACAGATATATCTAACTGTGCCCAATTCATTACGTTTGTAAGATATGATACAAATAATGGCATTCAAGAAGATATTTTATTTTGTTCCCCATTGGAGACCAATACCACTGGAAAAAAATTACTCGACACTTTTGTGAAACGTACAAATAAATATGATATTGACTGGGGTAAATGTATTGCTATATGCACAGATGGCGCTAAAGCTATGACAGGACATAAATCTGGTCTTGTCGTCAAATTAAAAGAAATATTGCCTAATGCCAAATGGAGACATTGTTTTTTACATCGAGAAGCTCTTGCGTCCAAAGCTTTACCTCCTGAAATGGACTGTGTTATGAAAACCATCATTAAAGTTGTAAATTCCATTAAAGGAAAAGCTTTGCAGACCCGTATTTTTAGAAAAATTTGCGAAGACATGGGTGCTTTATTTGAAAATCTTTTCCATCACACCGAAGTAAGGTGGCTTTCAAGTGGCAATGTCTTAAAAAAAGTATTTCACTTAAGAGCAGAGCTGTTAATGTATTTGAAAGATGAGAAGTCCCCATATAAAAATTAATTTTCCGATCCTATTTGGCTTCTGAAACTAGGTTTCCTTGCTGATATTTTCTAGCAATTGAATATTTTGAACAGTAATTTACAAGGTCGCAACATTAATATAATTACAGCCACAGATAAAATTAAGGCGTTTCTAAGAAAAATCGATTTATAGTCGACCTCACTTGGCAAAAAACAACTCGATTCATTCCCGTGTCTTCAGGAAATTATGGAAAATGTATCCAATTACAGTGCTACAAATTTTGAACAAGTTGCTGCTGACATGCATGTTACTTTGCTCAATTTAAAACAACAGCTCTGTGATTATTTCCCCGAAGAAATTCAAAACAGTTACGACAGTTGCAGATGGATTT